ACAAGAGATATGAAGATACCATGAAGAGACACAAAAACAACGGCATGCCTGTGCCCATCGGCCCGTGATTTCAATGATTGCCTGATTTGGACAGTGCCGTGTGCAGGGACACTCTTTGTGATGTCTCCCTCAGTTTTGATGCAGCTGTCGGAGCAGGAAAAGTGAGACCTTTATTATTTGTAATAACACACCTGAGATTCCCATTCATTTTACATGCAACCCATAAGGCAGTGACATCACTTCTGACTGGCCAGCTATTCCTGCTGTCAGCAGAAGGTGGCAGCATATTCTTAAAATATAACAGCCATCAGACATCCTACTGCTACATGGCTTACTTTAGGCACTATTGAGAATGAGATACTTGAATATTACCATACTTTGAAATGCATTGTGCAGAAAGACCCTCACGCCTTGTCTTACCTTTTTTAGCTACACTACTCTACATCTCTGTGGGAAATATTATTATTTTACTTATTTATTTGATAGCTTTAGATGGCTTGAAGGATCAGATTTAAATCAAAAATATAATAATTTAATAAAGTATAATATATTATTATAGGTTAAATTCAAAAGCTATTCAGCAGCATATAAAGGTAAACATTATCAATTATTATAATGGACATTTATTATAATCATAATGGGAATCCTACATAATGAATAGTTTTACTTTTGTTTTTACTTTTGATAGAGAGAGAGAGAGAGAGAGAGAGAGAGAGAGAGAGAGAGAGAGAGAGAGAGAGAGAGAGAGAGAGAGAGAGAGAGAGAGAGAGAGAGAGAGAGAGAGAGAGAGAGAGGGATGTGGATCACTCAGTAGTCAGTGAGACAGCAGTGTCAGAGGATCATGCGGGGGATAAACTCTCCTTCCCATTCCACTTCCATCCTCCTCCTCCTCATTCTGTGAATCCAACCGAACCGAGCTGAGGAATAATGCCTGCAAACCACACCACAGCCCCAACACATGTGCCGGACTACACCTGCGCGCGTTTCTACGTGTCCACCGTGTCCTTCTCGGTGCTCCTCTTCTTCAACCTCATCATCAACTGGACCATACTTCGCGTCGAGCGTCTGCGGAGTCATGCGCGCTTCGTGCTGGTGTTCCACCTGCTGGTGTCCGCGCTGCTCTACCTGGGGATGAGCAGCGTCTTCTACTACCAGATCCACCTGCACGCGCGGCCGGTGCGCTCCGCCTGCTTGGCCATGATCACCGTGTTGATCAGCAGCGCCTCCAACATCCTCCTGACGCTCACGGTGATGGCTTTTGATCGCTACTGCGCGGTGTGCCATCCCATGCGCTACAGCTCCACCTGCACCGCGGGGCGCTGGCCCTGGATGCTGGGTGCGCTCACCTGGATTGTGGCTTTGGTCATTCCCCTCAGTCTGCTGCTCCAGCCGGACTCCCAGACCGAGTATAATGGGGTGTGTGACAGGGAACAGCTTCAAAAAGGCCAGCTGCAGAAGGTGCTGTTCATAGGTGTGTGCACGGTGATAATAATGTACAGCTACGTGAGGATTCTAGTAGAGGGAAGGAGATTGGGGGTGTTGAATCGGCGCAATGAGGCCGGGTGCAGGACGATCGCCCTGCATGGAAGCCAGTTGGCTGTTTACATCCTTCCTAACTTTGTGAACTTCGTGTTGACGGTGTTGTTCAAACAGAAGCTCATTCATCAGGAGACTAAAGAGCTGGCAGCCGTGGTTATCTTCGCTTTTTTCAGCTTGGCGCAGTGTGTTGCACCGATTGTTTATGGATTGCGTAAAGAGGAACTAATGGAGCAGGTGGGTCACACGTTCCCCTGCTGTTCCCAATACTTGAAGAGGGTCCTCGGCTGGACAGTGCGAGCCAACTGGCCACACACCCAACACACACCACGGTATGTCCAACATAGATGCATTAGACTTGTATTGTGTCTTTTAAACCTAAAATCCAAGTGGGCAGAATTTACTTAAAGGGAACCCTTAAAAAGAGTGTATACATTTCAAAGACTTATCAACAAGTAAGTCCTTGCTGAGTCAATAATACATTCTCACGAGGTATCCCTTCTTAATAAGTCATCATATATGCAATTACACAAGGCAATAAATAAAAACAAATCAGCTCCATAGAGTTTTTACAATCTGGTGATCCTAAATGTGTTATAACTTTTACTGATGATGAGTACAACTCAAGTAAATTACTCAAGGCAATACAACTTGTCAGAAAGTGGTGCTGCTTTATTTCTTTTACAGTAGTTGTTAATCAACTATGGAAAAAGATAGTGGAGGAAACCTATATTTATTTAAATGTCCACTCATGCAGTAATCACTGTCACACGAAGTCACATGAAATGACTAAACTGTGGGAAAACAGTTATCAGATGCTACCAAAATAAACTTATTTTATTGCTGAAAATAATCGTTTAACCATGGTGTATCTGTTACAGAAATGTGTCACTTTCCTCTCACGCGTACTATATTCCATTACTGCTTGAGAAACGCTTCTTCACACATTCTAAAGAACATCTAGTAGAAAAGTCACCAGAGTGTGAAGTGCTGAAACGGAGCAAGACAAAAGTACAGCTAAAAGAGAAGGGGGATTTATAGCACGAAAAGGTGTCTTGTTTCCTAAAGGGGTGTGATACTTTTTGATTTGCATACAGTTCAATATCATATATGACTACTTGCTGGTATGACTTGTTGAAATGGTTATTTGTTGCATAATTAGTGGATGAAACCACAGTGAAATACTTCCCTTTTAATGTGTTAGACATGAGTGTTCACCAACAAAAAATGTTCATGAGCACATTGCTTAGTGTTATTTCAGCTTACCCTCTTTTTTCCCACAGGGAGCGAACACTGACAGTACAGACGATCATCTCCCTACAGACCCCTACAGACCCAGAGGAAGAGGAAACACAGGCAATATCAGTCAGGAGTTCCTCACTGGACTTAGAGTCATATACCTGCGATACGGACAATGCCTGATGGGAAAAAAGCAGGTACATTTCAGGATTATCTAACAGGAACATTACCAAAAGTGGCTCAACTGAGGCCTGGGAGGACCTTAAGAAACCGCCTTGGACATCATAGGATCTTTTTTCTTCAATAGAGAATGTTGAGGCCTGATCAGCACGTTGCACTACACTGTTTTTGACCTTTTTCACCACAGAGCGAACATTGGAGCTGCTTGAAGAAGCAGAAGAAGACAATGTGGTTTCAGAAAAAGTGTCTCTTGTTGTAAAATGTTCTGGCTTGTCCAGACATTTAAGCCTTAAGTCTTCAGGTGACCAGCACACTTGGCTGACCTCAAGGCCACAAAGAGCCCTCAACGATTTGGGATTCAAATGACTGGGAGAGACGATAAAGGATATTTCCATATTATCCTCTTGTGAATATTGTCTTCATGTGTTCATAACCCTGTGGATATTAAAAAATGTGAATTTAATGGCAACTTGAATACTTACAGCAATCAGCACAAATCAAGATAGAACAATTCGGATTAGATGAGAAGAACAATACACCTCTCCTCTGTGGGGAAAGACACCAAAGCATCAGAGAATTCAAACAAAAAACATTTGGTATTTAACATTAAAAGCTTGTTTCACAAGAATGTGAAAGGACAGTGAACAGAAAGTAGTTTAAAGAAATGCACATGTTTGGCATATTATTTGGTGGTATATAGGCCATGGTAATCTAATTATATATCTTCAGAAGAAAACCAATCATGACACATTTTCTCCCCAATATGATATATTATTAGCTACTCACAAAAGACTGCATCAACATTGGTATCAAAATATGTGACCCTGGCTCAGTATAGAATCAAAACCAAGCTAAATGCTCTCACAAGGATGAGACGTTAGCTTGTTTTAACAAAGCGGGACACAGCAGGGGCGCACCTTGCGAACAGGCAAGGCAGGCAACTGCTTGGGGCCCTGGACCAGAAGGGGGCTGTCTGAGGTGTCACGTTCTGCTTGGGGCCCCCAGAGTGTCTTGGGACGCCACTGGCTAGACTACCTAAAGAAAGACTAAAATAATGTCTCGCTATAGCCTTTTCAGTTTAAAATGTATGTTTTATATCTTAATTAAACTTATTTCCAGTGGTTCTATTAACGAAACAAAATATATATTGGTGAGCTTTAAAATTGCTGGTTGGTGGATCTCATTAGCTATAGGTTAGCCTTCTAGCGTAGCTGGTTAGCTTTCCTTTTAATGGGCTCAGATGGGTGTGATTGATACCGTTATCCATCTTCTTATCTAGCTATCAGCATTCCAGTTATTAAACATATTTCCATCATTATATAGATTCTACATAAAGCAAATCTGACTTTGCTTTAATCTTCCTCTGAACGCTTCACCACTCGAAATGTACTATTACTGAGAAAGGAATTTGCAGAATCAGTGGGGAGTTTTTACAAGCAAAGTAGGACATTTGATTTTGTAGACTCTTTGCACGGTGGCTGCTGAGCTCCTAGTTTTAAGTCAGACAAAGCCACAGTTGCTGGGGAATTTCTCAATGTTTGAACCACAGCCTTCCTAATCTTTCAGTCTCACACCAACAGCTGCAAAACTTTTCAAGTCAGTGTAAATATGAGCAGGAGGGGATTCCGGTCTTCTTTTCAAAGCGCAAATAAGCACCAGAAGCTAGATGGTGGCGAAGCACTTACTGGCATTCTTGTAAAGTGTGAATACTCTGGAATAGCTCGGGCTGCGGAAGTGAAAGCAAAGTTGAAGATTATTTGAACACAAGTGACAGGAAGGCTGTTTGGCGGGGGGGTAAAAATGCTATGGTGGAATTGATTTAACATTTTATTATATATATATATATATATATATATATATATATATATTTTTTTTTGAAGCTTGTAGTCTACAAGAAAAACAAAACAATATGAGAAGTTTGGCCTGTTGAAAGCCACATTCAACGTATTTAAACACTTGGGAATTTATATACGCAACACATTGAAAACAATTGACAATGTTTGCTCTCAGGGATGCAAGTAAAGAAAGACAAGCAGTCTGGCAGATGAATTTAAATTGTATTTATTAATCTCATTAGGAAGGTGTGTTATTGTACCAAGAAACCTCAAAGAAGATCTGCACAAACACTGACTCCATCGAAGGAAATTAGATAACACAAAGAAGCATGTTATTATATCAACAAAATGAACATGTTTGATAGTTTTCTTTCTTTCTCAACAGCAGCATTGATAGGAGGGAAGAATGTGCAGATCTAATTTAAGTTTCATGAATGCTTGGACAGAAGATTACAATTGAGTGCAATTATTGTACAAGAAATGATGTATTTAAAGCACCAGGTATGCAGACTAACAGTTCTACAATGAATGCTGTCTGCTACCTTAAGCTGTAAGTTAATGTGACCGTATTGGTAAAGAGTGAAGATTACCTTTTTTTGTTTTAACATTTGAAGCTCTTGTTATGTGAAGTCACAACAGGAACTTGCAACAGCAGTTTCTAAGGCAAAGGGTTTGCTCCAGACATGAATGTTTCTGTGATGAGCAGAGGTTAGCTTAACATGCAAAGGCATTCAAGTACATAAGCACCACACCATTATATACATTTGAACACATTCTAATTAAGTGTATAATTCAAAGTGGAGGGAAAACTGTCATTACGTTAAAGTTGACATATAATTTTCCATCAAACAAAAAAAACGAAACACCATAACTTAATGTTTTAACAGAATCAATGATGACATTATTCAAGCTCCATGCACACATCGGAGAAATCTACTGCTTTAAATCCAGGTGGTATAAGGGCTAAAAGATTTCTCTCCTATCGACCAATTTTAAATAGCTAATTCATAATTTCATATAAATTAACGTGTTCACACAGAAGCGCAATGAAGATATTACAGTAAGAGATAATAAAAAAGTAAAACTGTGTTTTCTGTGCAAGTCGTTCAGCCCAAAACTGTAGGGGCAACAAAGCAGATAGAAAGGTACCGATGTGTGATGTGTGAGCAATTATGGCAATAACGAAAATGGTTAAGGTCATAAAGGACTTGATCTACACGGCCCTTAACCTGGTTAGAGATGTGGTCAAACAAAACAAAAACCAGACTGATTCCGATTCAGGGGGCGCGGTGCGTTTAGAAACCCAGAGGGTGAGGAGCGACCACCCCCCCCGTCTCCACCACGGCTGCAGAGATGGCTTTCATGTTCTTGAAGAGCTGTCTGGACTCACTGGAGCGCAGGGACTTGATGTCAGTCATGACCCTATCATAGGCCTGAGGGATGGAAGGAGCATAAAATACATTTAGACGGATACAAACATCTCCAAATAATTGCGTGTAATAACAATAACAACAATCTCATCCTCATAACCAAACATTATCTTTCTGAATAATCTTTCTATGAAAATAGGATGTCAAGTATAATTCCATTATATCAATTGAGCTGTAGAATATACGCTATTATTGGGCAGGGCGGTTACATTTCCTATAAGCAATATTGAATTAATTGAATTGTTATGATAAAATGTAGATATTGTTTTCAGTGTTTCTAGGCTCCTGTGATCTTACCTCCACACACCAGGTCTCACACAGCATCTTCTCGTGCTGAGCTGTGGGGCCGGCCTGACTCAGAGAGCGTGAGGCCCTGCAGAGAGGGAGGGAAAGTGAGTTTGTAGGTGGAATAAAAGTATACCAGAGAGAAGGTGAGTGGGAGTTTGAAGCAGAGAGGAAGTGAAAGAGTGAAATGGGGACGGAGAGAGAGTCTTTTTTCATTTCTTGTTTGCGTACCTGGACAGAACCACCACCATGGCGTAGAGGTCGATGGCACCGTCGGCCACTCTCTTCAGGACAAATTGTTCATCTGTAACAGAGAAAGTTGAGTTAAAAGATTTCTCAACGTCTGAAATGATTACTTGTAGGAGAAAGAGATTTTTTTTCCACATGTGGGTGTTTTTAAGTTGGATGTGTGAGGAGATATTTGTATTAATAAATGAACAGATAACGCATCAGAATTGTACGTGTACACACACACACTCACCAATGATCTTCTTGCCGTGTTTGATCAGCAGCTCCTCGACGACAGCTCCGAACTGTTCGATGGCTTTAACGGTCTACAATTAAAATGTAACAAATAACTTAGGTCAACAATGCAAAACGTATCATACCAACAGCAAGAAAACAATGTGAAATAAATGCCTCAACTTTAAACAAAGAAAGGTTTAACCCACCAGTTCACCGCTGTGTGCCAGCTCAGGGTGCACAGAGCCCTGCAGAGTCAGACCTGTGCTGAAACCCGCCTTTCTACAAACAATAGAACAAGAAGACAATGTTAGATCAGACATGGCTGAGCAAGTGCAGATAATCGGTGCTGCATCAGTGCTGCATCAGTGCTGCATCAGTACCGCTGGGAAGTATTTACTAACGTTGTTGTGCAATCAAGTTGAAGGAAAAATGAAAATACACATGTGCTAATGAAGCAAAAAACAAAATGGCTTTAGCTCGTAAATTGCTAGAAAGTGCAGTAAATGGTGATTGTGTGACGGGTGTGTGTGTGTGTGTGTGTGTGTCTGTTGGCTCTAACTTAAGGTGTCTACTTTCACTTCACAGTTCCTTGAAGGAGGAAATGGATACAAAAACACATTTAATTCCTTGAAATGTGACATCATTACTTGTAGACAGTAAAGCCACTATTAGCTAAGGAGCTAACAATTATGAGTGATGCAATGGAGGATGGAATTGACACTTGAAGAAATTGCATCATGTATTGTGCATTATAATGGAAGTTCCCATCTCCCCCCCCCCCCCATCAGCTACTGCAGTGTGGCACTTCATATCCCCCACAGGAGACAGACAGTGTGAACTCAGTCTGTGTGTGAACGTGTGTGTGTGTGTGTGTGTGTGTGGTTGTGGTTGTGATGCAACCTTTTGGTTCTCTTGGTGACTTCTGCAGAGAGCAGCGCAAGGTTGCCGATGGGGTTCTTCATGGCCTTCTGTAAGCTCTTCAACTGGTTCCCAGCATTCTGGAGGGAAACGGAGAGGGACACACATTATGTATTGATTATTAACTGGCTCTGACAGAATCTCAGAAACAAGTGATGGGATCCTGCATGCCAAAGCAACAGTAGTTTTTCCACGCAAAATGTGTGCATTTACTTCCTTGTCTGTGACCCTGTTACTGGCTTAAGTGCATGACTGTGGATCAACCAGGATCTCACTCAAGGCTTTGGTGAAACCTGACAGTTGGTGGTTTTTAATGTTGAAACTAATCAAGCATGAGATTAACTGAGGTTTATTCTCTTCTTACTACAGAGGTTTTATCTTCCTCTGATTGTGGCATTTAGTCATGAATATCGGACGTTGTGGTAAAATACATTCGATTTTAAGTCAGGTTTTCATTATATTACTGTTGAAATAACAATGACTTGACTTGCATCAGACTCGGGAACATTCACATTAGTTTGGGTGAGATATTTCATGTGTACAACATGCCACAATCTCCTCTAATACGACAGAAGCTACGGCCGAGGAACCCAGACTGCTTTGCTTTGAAGAAAATGAAGAAATCGACAAGGAAGGGTTTTTCCAACCAACACAGATCCTTGGTGTTAAGTGGTACAAGGAAGTTGCTTCACGATCAACTCACTTCCTCTTGACACAACGTCTGTACTTTTTCACGCGGACAGACAAATGTCAAATCACTACAGCCGAGTGTGATTTTACCTGGAAGCCATTGAGGGCCACGAAGAGTCTCAGGATGTCGTTGGTGCCCTCGAAGATCCGGAAGATTCTCAGATCCCTCATCACCCTCTCCACTCCAGAGTCCTGCAGAGACAGCAAGAGGATGACCTTATTATCTACTGTAGAGTAAAGAGTATCGGCTATTTTCTTATTTAAGTCAATCCTACGCAGAATAAAGCTGAAACAATCCCATATAAAACATAATTTACTATTAAAAATGCACTAAATGTACATTTTCTCTTGAGGTCAGTCTTGATTTGAGTCAGTCAAATATCAGGTTTATTTCCTTTTAATAGGACTGCTTTGTACTTCTTAATAAAGTTGCATTTTGTCTGTTTTTATCCCCTCTCCTAAAAAAATAAGTGATTTCAGATTCACGGCACAAGGCATGTTCTTTGTTTTGTTTATTTATACTGTTTAAAAAATGAGAGTGTAATTTGAGCATAACACATTTCCATAATGATTACACACATGAGGCAATGAGCTGTGTTTTTACTATCATATGTTACATGTACGAGACATTTGGATGTCAGCTTACGGTTCAAACTAGGTAGTGAAAACACCAGCTGCAACAGGAACAGGTCCTTCTATATTCATGTGTGTGTTTTTGAATTTCGCAAGGTACTGTTTTTAGCGTTGCAGACGATGCACTTTTTTGCACAGAAGAGCAGAAATGGTAATGAACAGGGCACACTTCTGACTTGACTTCCTGGGTAAAATGAAACCCAGTCAGAAATATGCTCCGTTAGCAGAACTGATCAAAGTCTGGTGTTGATTGTGTTTCCCCTTTTACTTCTTAGACAGCTCATACCACACATCTAATTTTTTCACCACGCAGGTAAGTTCTCGAGTACAATGTGCACCAAGATAGCCTACAGTTAAACTGTGCATTACTATCCTATTAATGACACAACACCGTTTTTATTGTGTTGTACTTGTTATATATAACAATATAATATAATATATACACACACACACACTTTAACTTCTTATGTTTATATGCATCTTTTAATGGACATTTTTACTTGAACTATTTTTATTTTATTGGACTTCTATGTTTTTATACATGTTTCTATTCCATTCTATCGTTTTTGGACATTTTTACTTTAACTACCTATTTTTATATAATTACCTTTATTCTATTTTATCATTTATTGCACATTCCTAAAATGGAGCAACTATCCCAAAACCCAACTTCCATCTGGATAAATAAAGTATTTTGATTGTGATTGATTCGTTAAAGTATTTATTATTATTTGTAATATTCTATACAACTTCACGCCCCCCCCCCCCCATATCTTCATCTACCTAACACTATTCTTATGAACTTCAAAAACGGTGACTTCTGCCTTATCTACACAAATAAACACATCATTGTTTTTAAAGATTAGACCGCTCGTCTGATGTCATCATTGAAATACAACGTTTGAAAAAACAATGCTAAGCTAGGGTTGAAGCGAGCAGTTAAGTAAATATGATGAGGTTAAGATGACAACATAGAGTGATGGCAGTATGCTAATGTAGTGTACATAGATCAAGGCTGTGGAGCGGAAAACAAAGTTCCGGGTCAACAATTAGTATCGGGAAGTATAGCGTTGGAAAAAAACGAATGGGAAATGTTGCACACCGCCAAGAAGGCAAGGTACAGTAGGTTTGTAGTTCCCCTCGAAAACAAACAAGTGCTTTATGTGTGTTTGAACAGATGATTCAAAAGTTGCAGCAGTAAGATATACAATTTACAAAGTGATGAATGATATGACGCCTACAAAGTAAACTGCATAGAGATGTCTGGTTATTATGCGTGCTTCAGTACAAACTGTCATGTTTGTGTTGGGCCATGGCGCCGTGTTTAGCATCACAACCCATCCGTAATAGTTTCAGGTATGGGAAATGTGGCAGCTCTGGCCAAGAAACTATTTAGGACCAGGCTCTTAAATGTTACAAATACTGATTAAGTTCCAAAGTTTGTAAAATGGTTCAAAGTTTCAGGAGCTTTCTATACCCAAAGGAGAGAGTGCCATAGAGTTAAGTCCGGGAGTTTATAAGTTCCTAAAGTTGTTTCTGGAAAATGTTCCTGGTTCCTCTATTTCTACAAGAACTTTCTGGGGTTAGGAAATTGGATGCTGACTATAATGACCTTTATTCCTTCAGTTCAAGGTTCATATTTTCTGGAAAACTGGTTTTAATTTTGCGTGGTACTTTCTTATCAGTTTGTCACTCAAACAACAGAACTACTTGTTATTTTCCCCTGTTTATGGCAGCATTTTCTTTAAGCAGATTATAAAATGCTGAAAATCCTTCACAGGGTATATGTAGGAATCCTGAAGTCAAATGTAATACCTTTTAAGACCTTTTTTAAGACCCTTTCCATACATTTTAAGACCTCATCGCCACTTGGAGTTTTAACCGGTTACCTTGGCGACACACTTTACCTCACATTGACTATATACAGTATTGATTGTCCTTCCTCCTTATCTTCCAACCATTTGGACGCAAACTTGCATTTCCCCATAACGATGTTGTTTAACAACCGGCGTAAACGGACCTTCGCGCGCTATCAAGCAGTGAGCGTGCGATGTCCTGTTCAGATGACGTCAAATCCAACGGGATGCCATAAATAAACTACACAGAATCACACTACACACCTACGCAATGATTACATTCAGGCACACTGTAGAATACAACCTCTTTGGACAATTTATATACTTATTGAAAACAAGCTACAAAATGTAATACCTTGGAAAATGACGTTTAATACTTTTTAATAGCCTTAATTTTCGCTAAATTGATTTATCAACTTTTAATACTTTTTAAGACCCCGCGGACACCCTGCTTCATTTGAAATTCCAGCAAGTAAAACTAAATGTATAAATTGCTTGAATCTTTATGTCCCGAGCATCTTCTCTGGGGCGCTCAGGTTAGTATGAAACAGGAAGTGGACGGAGCGCTCACCTTCATGTAGCCCATGCCGCCCATAACCTGAATACACTCGTCAGTCACATTCCATGCTGCTTCCTGTAATATACAAAATCACAAATTCATTTAGAAAACAAGTCTTACACAGAATAAGGAAAATCAGAAGTATTTTTGAAATAGGAGTTGAGTTCCCCAGAGTACTAACACGTGTGAGAAGTAATGGGATTACAATACAAAACAAGTAGAAAATAAACAGATATTTTTTAAAAGGCTTTGAGCCAAAGTGTAAGAATTAGTTATACTACAGTGTAGAAATACTCTGCTACAAGTCCTGCATTCTAACAGTTTCTTAAGAGAAGTACAACCGTATTAGCATTAAAATAACCTTGAAGTATATAAAGTAAAATAACTTATTATGCAGAATGTATAAAATTCACTGCATCAATTATTTATGCATCAATCACCTAAATATTCAGCGGTGAAGCTCATTTTAAATAATGGCAAACTTAAATGTTATAATATATCATAAGTTATGGTTTAATGTTGTAATGAGTGGTAAGTAACTTATTCAAATGTAACACATTCAAAATGTGTTGTAGAAGAAGCATAACATTGATATATTTAAGTACAGATGCTTCAAAATTGCACCTCAGTAATGTACTTGAGTACATGTACTTAGTTACTTCCCACCACTGTTTACAAAGCGATTATGCGAGGCATCAAGATGGATGATTAGCTTCTTTATGCATGTTTAACTGTAGTGTGATGTAAAACCTTACAGAGGCAAAGATCTTGCTGATGGCAGCTTCGATCTGGAATTCAGTCGATCCGCTGTCCATGTTGCCGCTGATCATGTAGGCCATACTCTGCAAAAACACACAGAAACATCACGTCAGGATGAATTTATGACACTTGGTCCATGTTGAAGCACCGGTATACCATAATGAATATAAGTGGTGTAATGTGTTGACAATCTCGTTTAAAGACCTACTTGTTCTCCCGTGCTCCTATCGGTTTTGTCTAAATGTATTTATGCTGCTTTTTTATATATTTATTGATGTACAGCACTTTGGTCAACTCTGTTGTTTTTAAATGTGCTATATAAATAAAGTTGGATTGGATTGGACAATGTGTTCTCATAATCTTAAAGGGGACCTATCATGCAAAATGCACTTTGTGATGTCTTTTATACATAACTATGTGTCCCCGGTGTGTCAGGGAACTCACGCAGCGTCAGAAAATAAAACCCTCTCTCTTTTCCTCCGTACCCAAATCTCTAAAAACGGGGCTAAAACGGAGCTGATCCAGATTTGCGTCCGATATGACGTAATATCTGAAATGTAGGCTGGCTTTACACCCACGGCACTATCAGAAACGTTGCTATCAGAAACAATGTCCGACTGTTTTGGACGTAATATGGTCGGTGCATGTTTACATTAGCATTGCTAACACTCAGAGCTAACCTGTACTGGAGAGCATGTGTGTGAAGAAGCAGGAAATAAAAAGGAACTCACCTTGTGGTATAACCGGCAAGAGAGAAAGCCTTTGAGCTCCATACTGTTTCAGAAATAATCCTTGATAATCCATGATATGGCGTTTCATCACCGCAGTATTTAGTTTAGACGGTAGCTGCCGGGTCCCGCATGAGCTCAGCCCCCGCCTTTTTTATTTTTTTACCATTTTCATTTTCTTTTTTAAAACTTTATACCCAAAATCAGCACATTTGAAACAGGAAGTGAAATAGAGGGATATGAGGCATGGCTAGAATGGGTGATCTGTTTGGTATTTTGAGCAAAACACTTCATAGACATGTTTTTTTATATATTTTTATACATCTGAGACCTATGCTATTGCCTAAAAATAGCATGATAGGTGCACTTTAAATTAACAAGGGTTAGACAGGAAATCAACCTTTTTTTAAAACAGTATAGATAGCAAAAACTTAAGTGTAGATTACGCTGGGGATTGACGGTTAAACAGGAGACAACACTTGGTGTTAGATACCGTCGCTTTAAATACAATCAGTAACAGTAACCCTAGTGATTAAAGCGGTGATAAATGTGCATCAGACTGCGGTGCGGATACGGCTTCATGGACTGACCTCAGTGACGTACTGCAGCACGGTCATGCGGGCGATCTTCTCCTGGATGGCTCCGTAGTTGTGGATCTTGCTCCCAAACTGGGTTCTGTTGGCTGCATGATCCACCTGAGGAAAGAGGAGAATGATCGTCACTATCACACATCATTCAAAGCTACAGGACGTGCTGCAATGTAGCAAAGTAAAGGTTTTCAAGGAAAGCACTCACTGCATTTTGTAGGCAAACGTTTAACTTTTTACCCCACCACATATATTTTATAGCTTTTGTTACTAGCCAATTAGCAAATTCAGTCAACAGGAATTTAGTTAAATAAAGATATCTAAGTATTTCTTCCACTTCTGGTTATTTTCTGTATATTATAACAGCGTCCTTATGCTTCTAGACTGGAGGTAAACTCTACGCAGTTTGTTTTGCAGTGAAAATGTTGAAGTTTAGATCTTGTGCATGAACAGGAAGTCTGGTTAGGCAGTGGGCGAGCATGTGAGCGTCTCTCCTGTAGCACGTTAGGGAAAAACCTGTCGCTCTGGTTGGAAACAAATAGCGACATGGTTCTGAAAATATACAGCTACACTTTATTTTTAAACAAGTGGACCCCTATGTGTTTAATTATGTTTTGAGTTGCTGGTTTTTAGTTCATTTCAATCTCTGTTTGAATTGGAAATAACTGTAATTGTATTGAAAGGTGCATTGTAAATAAAGTTATTATTCTTTGTATTATTTCTTCAAGGCAGCAGAGTCTATCCCTGCTGCATCGTCCATTAAACTAATGCTTGTGAAACAGTATCAGCAGTATAGCGTAACATAACTATAAGTTGAATAGTAAAAGTCCAAAGATCACATTCCGAACACTATTTAACTTAATTATTAGTTAATTATTACATTTAACCGTTACAAAACACTTTTGGCTACATAGTCAGTCAGCAAAACTTTAGATGTTTGAGAAGAAGAACAGACGTGACCGAAGCACGTTTGATTCTTCGGCGCCTGTAACCTCAGCAGGAAGTTGCCAGTGAGCCGTAGTGAACAACGAGGGGGGGGATTTCCCACAAACCCACAGTGCAAGAGATACACAATTGAAAGGGGGGGTGCAACCGACTACAGACAGGTCACAAGCGACATAGCGGATGGGAAAAACAACAATGCATAACACCTAAATATAAGTTATATAGAAAGTATGTCAAGGGGCTAATCCTTCAGAGAAATGTTCCTCCCCTCCACCGCACTTATGGCACCTGAAGCTAGTGAACTCACAGCTTTGGTGATGACTCCCTTCATGGTGCCGGAGAGGGCGGCCGCCATGCCGAAGCGCCCGTTGTTCAGGATGTTCATGGCCACCTTGAAGCCTTCCCCCACCTCGCCCAGCAGGCAGTCGGCCGGCACGCGGACGTTATCGAAGTACACCTCGGCTGTGTTGGACGCCTTGATGCCCATTTTCTTCTCTGGTGGGCCACTGTAATGAGAAATTTAGGGAAATAAAAAAATGTGAACGATTTCAAGAGCTCAAAACGAGAAAGAAATACAAATTCCAACCTCTAAAGATTATGTTCTCAACCCTTTTTGAAAGCAACCCCGCTCATAATATACATTTATTCTATATAGTGCTTTTCCAAGTACCCATAAACGCTTCAAAAAACAGTTTATTCAGGCATACAAACAAACATGCATACAGCAATGACACGTAAAAAAGATGCAATGAAATAAATAAAGAATAATTAAAGAATATTCAGGCAACCCCCAAATATCATTCACATATACTGTCAAAGTTGTGGGCCATGACTAAGAATCAATTCCCAGGTCTAAAAATCTCAACAACCATATGGTGACCCCCAGAAGTAATGCTGTGGTCCCCATCAGGGTCCTGACCCCCAGAAGTATTGCTGTGGTCCCCATCAGGGTCCTGACCCCCATGTAGAGAACCACAGCTCTGAAGGCCACTGTTACATTTAACATCAAGGGAGAGTCCTGTTGTAAAGTAATGAAGACAATAATGTAAAGAAATGCTGTGCTCACTGTGTCACCCCTCCAAAGCTCCTCTCCACGACGAAGGCCGATATCTTGTCCTTCATCTCGCCGGTCTTCGGGTCCTTCACGGGGGTCTTGGCGAACACTGTGAAGATCTCAGCCAAACCTCCATTGCTGAAAGGAGAATAAAGGAAATCAGATTAGGAAAAGACACAAGCAACTAGGAGCTATCACATGTCAGTTCTGGATGAATAGCACAATGCTGCCTCCTTGTGGCGACAGAAAGAAATGCTGATAGAGCCGCCGAGTCCTCACCTGATCCAGATCTTGCTTCCAGTGACAGTGAAGAACTCTCCGCAGGGGGACTGGACCGCGGTGGTTTTAATGGAGGCGGCGTCAGAGCCACTGGCCGGTTCAGTGAGGCAGAAGGCGGCCATGGTCTCACCTGGAGGACAAACACACAGGGGAAAATATTTAGATTGTATGTATTAAGTTATAGGGCTTACAAAATAGTTTTAAAGGTTAATTCATCACATTGACACGTTGTCGGTCCTGATAACTGTGCTGCTATTTTTCTTTTGTATCTTCAAAACCCTAACTTGTGCATCAGTCCTTTGTAAGATTGTTCCCAACTCCCAAGGGTTACAAGTTCAAAAGCCAAAACTGTATTAAAATGTTTGAGATTATTACTTTTAACAAAATATTCTGCAACAAACCATATTCAAAATAATGTTCAAATAATGATTCTTCATGCACACAAACAGAGGCACTTTGAACTGCATTGACATCACCACAAAACATGTTTTTTTAAAGACATGCAGGAGTGCATTAAAGACCCGGTGTGCGTTCTTACCAGTGGCCAGTTTAGGCAGGTACTTGGCCTTCTGGGCTGGGTTCCCAAAAAGCAGAATTCCCTTGAAGCCGATGGACTGATGGGCCCCCAGAGTGATGCCGACCCCCAAGTCATGGCTGCCAACGATCTCAACCAGCCTGCCATACTGTAGGATGAGGTTAACACATTACATTTATTACATTCGCCTGTTTACAATTTACATAATTAACCTCATTACAATGTTTAATGGTGTGTATGTGCTATAGAGTAGATATTCATAGATGTAGAATCAAGCAGACGTACCTGTGTGTTTGTGAGGCCGAGGCCCCCCAGGTCAGCGGGCACCTGCAGGCCAAAGGCCCCCATCTCCTTCAGGCCCTCCATGGTGGCATCCTCCACCCTCTCCAGGGCATCGTTCTTGGCAGGATCATTCACCTCCTGCACACAGGAAGTAGAAACATGGAGGGTGAGGGACGAGTATGAGGGAAGTAGAGAGGATGTGAGCGTAAGGCCGGAGACACAGATCTCAAAAAGGTGGAAGTACCTGGAAAAACTTAATGACAGGCCCCACAAGCTCTCTGAGAAACTGCTCCTGCTCCTCGTTCATGACTATGACAAACACAACATGTTATTTCACAACTACAACTTTACTACAGAACTTTTTAATTAAATATTAACATAATCTCCTGTGATTTACCTGAAGGGTAGGGGAACACTTGGGCAGTTGCGATCTGCCCTTTGAAAATGTTGACAGCGAATGATTTGGATTCCTGTGGAAGTCAAAAGAAGAAAAGCATGTCCAATTAGAAAAAACAAAAAAGGGAATATAAACATGACCTTAAATATATTATGTTTATAATAATAGTAATAGAGAATAGACATACAACAGCAGCCGTCTTCTTTTCCACTTTAGTGACAGCATCAGTGCCGACTGCTGCCTGCTTGTCCAGCACCGCCTGAAGAGGAAACAGATGTTGAAGAGAACAGAGCATGAGCTTTCGAACAGATCAAGTCAGTAAAAAAGTAGGAGAGATGGGGAATCTTTATATGCTTCTGCAAGAAAGTGAGGCTTAAATAACATCTGGTGCAAATAAAAGCATATTCCTTAAAATGAGAACATGGTTGGACGAAATCTCTCTTTTAAAGATGTCATGGTAAAACAGGGCTGGATGATATGGAGAAAACAAAATATAACATTTCTTATCAAATACCTTGATATTGCGATAATATCGTAGGGTTTGATCAATAATCATTAGTAATGTAGACATAATGACTGAGTGTTTAAAAGCAAATTAAAAGCTGGAAAGACATTCATGCAACATCACATTGTCAAAAATCTAAGACGATAACTAGTCTCTTATCACAATATCAATATGATATATTGCCAAGCCTTCCATATCCAAATGCCAGTGTTATCAGCCAAAGTAAACACAAATGAAGGTCTAATTCCAGCCAGGGCAGCAGCTCAGCTAGAGGAAGCTCCAACTGGGTGAAAGGTGATGCCAAGGGCACATCCAGTCAGCTGAATCAATAACAGCACGATTAGAGAAAGATTATACACAGGGCAGTGGTATTGTTTAGGGTTTAATAATAATAATAATAATAATAATAATAATAATAATAATAATAATAAACTGGTAGCTCGGAGTGAACCTGTCATTTAAATTCTCTGTGATAACCTCCACTGTGTTTTTGAACAACTGAATTAATGACATCCTTCTTTTCATTCCAACAATCAAATCCAAAGCTCATATCAATTGGTTTTTGGTTAAAACAAATGTACTTAGTGAGAAACCTAGAAATTTGATTTGATTTGGCTTGTCAAATAAACATCTTTTGATCATTATTTTTGCCAGAACAATTTAACAATAATACCTATTAAGGAAGGAAGGTGTGCTGCAAATTCAGCTATATTGCATTGGAAATTATGTTATTATATATCATAACTCATTTATCAGGCTTAAAGCATCTGTTTCAATAACTTCAATGTGTATTTAAACTACTGTATATTGTACATTGTAATACTGGTACCTAATCAACTTCAACTGCTATATATTGAGATTCAAAATGACAAAATATATTGAGGTGTATATAAGATATATATATATATAACACGATTAAAATCAGCAGTGTCACCCACTTCCATGGTGTCACCTTTATGACTGAGTCACGTGACCAGTGAACTTTCCCCTACATCCGGTGGGAGGGGATGCCAACGTTATGTCAGCCTGCCCCTGCCCCTGGCCATATACGGACCATAAAGAGACTCCTAATTATGGTAAACAAGCTGAATAAAATCGGATTCTCTGTTATAATGTAGGGTAATGTTACTGTAACGTTACCTCTGCAGCTTGGCTGGCGTAGAGACGAGCATTTTGCACTGAAACCACAGCCCCGGCCTGACGCTGACCTCTGTAGTCCAGACAAGAAAATATAGGTGACTTTTGAATCAGAGTGGGTCATCTTCATGGTCATTTTAACAGGAGACGATAATGTTTAATAACAGCTGTACACCTTAACGTTACTTACCCTGACAGCACAGGAGGAATCCTGAGAATGGAGCCACATAGTTTCGAAGACTGGCTCACTTTACGAAGCAGCATGATTGAATTTTGTTCTAAAAGAAATAGGGAAAAACACGTTGTAATCAGCTTAATAACACGTTTTTCTTACACAGACAGAAACCAAGGAGCTAACAGATACGTAGCAACGGCGGGTGGCTAGCAGCTACGTAACGACGTCAGTTTGTTTTGTAACCTCACCAGTTTTTACTAAATAAAAACAGGAAAACCCAGTTAAAGTACATGTATTCCTTCGAAAGGAATATAACTCAAACATTAATGTACACACCTGTACAAGTTCTATTATGACACGTCCGCTGCGTCCGTCAGGTAGCCGTTTAATGCCTAATGACTAACTCGGAACCTGTTGTCTTCTTCTTCGAAGCACGGTTCCCCGGATGTACAGTGCTTCATGGGATGTGTAGTTTTACAGGACATATATGTAGTTTTTACAGGATCGGCTGGTCCGAGACTGAAATATGAAATGCATAATTTGGAAAGAAACAGTAGAATCAGTGGCGTCGCCTGGCCTAAAGCCCCGAATGTTTTTTCTGTAGCCCCGGACAATTCTCCCTCAATAATATAATCAGGGGTGCACATAACTGGTACGCATGCGTGGCAAAAAACTGAATTGCATAACGTCACTTATGTCACTACGTGCCTTTGCGTACCTCAAAACATCAAAACAAAACACATATTTTGTCTACAAGTATTTCTTGTCAACACTCAATGGAGTAAACTACTAGACATGTAAAAAAAAACAAAGACATTAAGCAGCTACGTTGCCGTGCACACACTGGAGAACTGCGCAAAATCAGCTGATCACCATGTTCACGCTCTGTGGTCAAGCTGCTCCAGTTTGATTTACAACAACGTGGAGTAAAACACACAGTTGCAAACTTACTCAGGGTGTTAATGGAATAGTTTGAAATCAGACAGAGGTGGAAGAAGTACTCAGATATTCTGTAGGAATACTCTGTTACAGTAAAAGTCCAGCATTCAAAATGTTACTCAAGTAAAATTAGAAAAGTATTATCAAAATATAGTTAAAGTACCAAAAGTAAAAGTATTCATTGTGCAGATTGGTCCATTTCAGAATATATGATATGTTTTATAATGATTGATCATTAAAGTGTTATCAAAGCTGGTAAAGGTGCAGCTAGTTTGAATGACTTTGTATACTGCAGGGTAGCTTGTGAATTCCAGATCTGTAAAGTAACTAAAGGTATTCAATAAATGTAATGGAGTAAAAGTACACCATTTACCTCTGAACTGTATGGAGTAGAAGTACAAAGTAGCATCAAAGTCAAGTAAACTTACAAATATCTCAAAATTGTACTTAAGTACAGTACTTGCATACTTAGTAACTTCTCACATCTGAAATCAGATATGACTTCACAGTTTTGGCAACAAGTTATGGAGAAAGCAAATCGGAGGCTTAAAAAGAGACAGGGAGGTGCATCTTCATCATCTTCATCATCTAGCATGCAAGAAGTGTAAATAGAGGACAGTGAAGGAGACACTGAGAAGGACCACGCTTCATGTGGGGTGAGTACCAACGCTGTCTCATTACATGTTACTTGTTAGACGCTTTTATCCAAAGCGACTTACATATTCAGTACTGTGGGCAATCCCCACAGGAGCAATTTGGGGTGAAGTGTCTTGCCCAGGGACACAACGACATGCTGACTGCAGTGGGGTTTGAACCTGTGGCCCCCTGATCCAAACACCACGCTCTATCCACTGCGCCACACCAGTAACTCACTAAAAAAGTGATGTGCACCCCTAAATATAATACATGAATTGTGCTTTACCTGAACCTCATCATGACACTAGGGAGGACTGCAGGATTGTAATTTCCCGTGTTCAGTGAATACTGTAAAAGATTATTTCCAAGGCATTGGATATTTCATATGATCATTATAGTTATAAAAAAATAAGAGAATAAATGAAAAACAGTTATGAAATACTATATGACAGTAAAACAAGAATACAGTTTAAAAGGGGTGTGATTTGTACCCCTAGACTGAAGTTATGTCCACTCCCCACTTATAAAAATAGCACTTTACCCCTGCTTACACCTATATGCCGTGAGCTGATTATCGAGCCTTCGTTGTAAGTTAACAGTCGCGGCACGGGTGTACTGTGTATGTGCGTGTGGGGAGTGTTGCAGTAGAACATTCCACTGTAGCGCCCGGTACCTTAATGGGAAACCCTACATGTTTGAGCACCCTCTATGAAACGTCAAGCTACCCCACAGCACCCCCAAAAGAAAATCTCTGGCGCCGCCACTGTGGGCTAAGCCCCTAATGTTTCCAGGTCCAGGAAACGCCCCTGAGTTTAATCATAAACAAATGTATTCTATACAAGCAACTCAATATAGTTATTTAAAAAAATCAGTAGAATAAAAACATTGCAGTTATTTTTTATGTACATATATTTACAGGTTATTGTATATAAGCCAATACATACAAAAAAGTAAACATTACAAATATATGACTATGGTACAAACAGAAAGGAAAGGGGTCTATAATACATCCTGCATACAGGTGTTTATATAATCTTCAGGTTTTCAGGAGTATTATAACAGATCGTTTTCAAGAACTGAAACTTGGACAAACCTAAAATAATCTCAATTGTGCCTAATGTCTAAAAATGTATACATTATCACTATGTTTTAGCCCCCACATAAATACTGAAGTAAAAGTTTGTTGCTTAAGGTTTTAAAAGATAGTTTAATGCTACAGCTGCAGTTGTTTACCCAGTAAAGAGGCAATATAATATTTATACCAAGACAGAAATAACTGTTTAACAAACACTGAAAGCAAACCAAAAGTTGTTGCTCAAGTCTACTTATTTACACAACTTGTGAGAACATTCCCAGCTCGCAAACGTTTGAATACCCTCCTGAAATAAAGAAGTCTGAACAGTATGTAAGTATCAAATTTATTCTCAAGTACACAAACAAAGGTGGCGATATGAAATCAAACAATGTGACACTGTCCATGTCATTCTTTTTTTGAAATGTTGAACCTTCATTTAGCACCTTAATAGTTCGGTTATACATGATTTATATAGTCACTCATACAAAAATGAAACGGGTGAATAATGCAAGTCAGTAACATAAAAATAAGCATGGGGCATTTGGATCACAGTTACTTAAGATACTGCATGTTATCAAAAAGTACCGCTTTCAGCATCTTGTCTTTTCACCTATTTGTACCGTTAAGCCGCGACAGTCCCATACCGAAAAACTCCTCACGATAAGAGTTATTTGACGACTACTAAACACAAGTTCAACTGACATTTTTGGACCTTATTTGTTCACATTAGAGCTTTTGTAGTGTTGCATTTACATAGGAGTAGTAGGTATATACAGAAAAGTTCATTGTCAAACAATGCTGAAACATGATGAGTTGGTTTCATGTACCTGGAGTGTGAAAATATGTCAAAAAATGCAAACAGTAAGGCACTCAATATACTCCTGTGCTGCCAACCTGTCTACAGGATTGTATCCTCTCAAGTACACAGTGTTCCTGGCACCCTCTAGTGTTGAACTGCGGTCTGTGCGCTTCTTGGCTCTGACATTCGTAGTTGATTTGGGAACCTTTTTCCCCCGCCTATAATATATTTTTTCCATTTTGAGGATTGCAGGAAAAAAAAGTGTTGAGCAGCTCTGATTGACAATCAAAATCTGTCCTGAGATCTACTGATATAAGAAAGCAGAACTGGTCATTGTGGATTGAGCTTTAAAAAAAAAGAACTGTTGTGTAGTGTATTTTATTAAAAAAAAAGAACTGTTGTGTAGTGTATTTTATTAAAAAAAAAGACCGTATACCACATTTACTGCGTTTTCATTTTGCCTTATTTTCTTTGTCAAAGTTAAACCCTGTTCTCACCAAATTTGTAACAAGTGCCCTCACTCCAATAGGCCCTTGTGAGCTCATAAAGCTACCGCCAGATCCTCGTCAAAACAAGTGGGAACCGTACGCTAACTTCACATGAATGGTCACTCAACACCGAGACAGAAAAAATGAAATCTACATGACGTCCACAAAGAACTCGCTGGGGTTTCCCATGGCCAGGTGGAAGGACTGGCGTGATGCAGTCAGCTCTGGGGGCACGGCGCCCAGGTCACGGGTGGGGGGGGGCACCCGGAGGCCCCCCCGGGGTGGAGGAGGGCATCTGGGTTAGAGCCGGGTGCATTTGGGCCGCAGACATCTGCTGCGGGTGAGAAAGAGCGTGAGCGGTCATGGCAGGGTGTGCGTGCTGGGGCACCATCATCACCATCATGGGGTTGTACGGCAGGATGCCCGGCGGGTAGGGGGACATGTGGGGGGGCTGGGGCATGCGGTGGTGGTGCGAGCGCTGGGAGGAGGCGTGGCTGTGCTCGCTGGGGGCCGCCGAGCCGTGGCCGCGCCTCAGGCTGCTGCGGGTGGAGTATTCTGATTCGCTGCCGCTGCCGGAGCGAGAGTCTCCGCCTTCTCCGACCCCACCGGAGGGGGATTTCTCCCCCCCCGCCGACGGTGCTGCCCGGTCCTTTAGTGCTGCGACGACCCCCCCCCTCGCTCCTCGTCGATCCACTGCTTCGGCTCCCTGGGGGCAGAAAGGAAATGTCAGATAAGATGTAAACAGGTTTGAGAAGCTAAGCTAGCTTTCATTTCCACAACTAGTATCCCAGTAAGTCAAACTGCCAGCCCCCTATTACCACCGTTTAAATATTACTCCTTGTGAGATATACTTTTGAGCAAGAAAACTTGTAACAACAGTTTCTGCTCAAAGCTCAATAACCATTCAGTAAGAAATCTTTAATAGTATTTTTTTTACAATTGTTTTCATACAAGAAATGGCATAAACTGTAAGCAGCAACTATAGCAGAGTAAAATAAAAACTCATGGTATTCTTTGCACAGCATTGATTTCTAATGAGTGAGTGAAACCGGTATAATGTCCCTTCAGATTTACACCTGCTTCTGACCGCTGTGTGTCTCACCTTCGCTGTGCTGGCTGCCGGTGGAGCCCGGGGCGTAGCTGTAGCTGGTGAGCTCGTGGTAGGGAGGGGGCTGGCTGGAGAAGGCATGTGTGGGGTAGGGCTGGTAGGGGAAGGTGTGCATCATGGGCCACGGGGAGGCCCCAGGGAGAGGCAGGGGGGCCAAGGTGTCCTGGTCTGACGCCCCACTGGAGCCGTCATTGTCATTCAGCGACAGGTTGGCCATGTCTGGGCGGGGAAGAGAGAGAGGAGATAAATGAGGATACAAAGTGTTCCTTAAAGATCTACAGTAGATACTCATTATACAAAATAACCCTAATCCCTGCATTATGTCTTCAAATTTTATATATAATATTATATTTAAAGTCAGCCGGCGCGGCACCCATGAAAATGATCAAAGAGAGACATGTTTTTACAACTGAACCCGCTGCAGTTTGTTGCCTTTTCTCTGCTTGTTGTTGTGCTT